TCAGGAATACTAGTTGGCTGGTTATCTCTTCCTTCTTGATGAAGTTGACTTCAGTGAGGTGCTTTTAAGTCAAGCGTAAGATACCTTCAATTCAATTCTTTGTGGAAATTAAGAAAAAAACGTGATATCCTCATAAAGAACCTTCAATTTTGACTTGACCAGGCTTGAAATTATTTACTTTAGTCACTGAATAGCACCACCCTCAGCTAGGAGTCCAGATTCTGGTGAACCCTTACATGTTCCTAACTATTTTGTCCGTGAATCTGCTATGCATGAAAAATGTCGATGAGTTCTTGATCACTGCTGAACAGCTAGAATATTGTTTCTTAGATGTTCTGATGTGTTTTCCTGAAAAGAATCATGTCAGTTTGATATAAGCAGCTGAACTGTTTGGATATTGTTCAAGTTCCAAGCAGCTAAGAAGAGATCTTGCTCTGCTTAAGTTAATAAATAGGACAAACTGCGTGAAGTTTCTAAAATAAATAGTCTGCACTCAGCTGACTCTTGACAGGTATTGATTAACACTTAGAAATGATAAATTCTACGTATACTTTAATTAATAACCTTATCTTCGTTACCTATATCATCAGCAACTCCACGCCATTTTGATTGATGTGATCTATTATCACTAATAATCTCTTAGCCAATCAAAAATTGCTACCGTCGCTTCATCTTAGCACACAGACATAAATGACAGGTATATTCATCTCATACATCTCATCATAAGTACACACTGGATTACATACTGAGAAACAGATATTCAATACTCTCAGTCACCAGTTGGTAATGAGTTATATTAGCTAAGGAACAGCTAGTGATTAAATTCTAAACTGTATTTCGAGAGTGGAGTTCGAACCTCTAAGTGAACTGTCTATACCACAGCGACCGCTTAGCAACCACGATGAAGCTTTTTTGATATATTCTATGAAGGATGTTGTCAATAACAGTATCAACATGCAAATATAGCATAACATGCCATGTAAAATCTTTCAGTGAATGACTAATAATAGTGCCATAAAAACATAGTTTATACTAACAGGGTTGAACAAGGAGATTATTTTCTATAAGGTTCTCGAACCAGACTTCCCAGTCGGACGTCGAAATTAGTTTATTTTGTGATCTATACAAATGCAACCAATAGTTAATGTCAGCTTCTAACTAGGCGTCCAATATTCGTAAGACACTTCGGTCAAATCCCGATCAAATTTCATGGTGATTGAGAAATATAATCGAAAAAATTCGTCACCCTCAAGAATGTATGAGGAAGTATGATGATGGGCGTCAACCTTCGCCCAAATGATTAGACCTGAGAAAAAGTGTATTTTTCTTAGTCCAGTTGATACCAATGGGTGTTCAAATCAGAAATGCAGTTATTCAACAGTTGATAGCTGAGCTGAGCAGCGAAATTATCACACATTTTTCGGAAATTGTTCACTAATGCAAAGCAAACTGGACAAATGTCCCTTACATGTCAGTACTGTTTGCAACAGTAGGATTTACTCAATTATCAGACAGACGCGTCTATACATGCTTCATTGCACATCACGCAAAGGACTAGAACCTAAAACGATTTAATTATGAAAATAATAGTTTGATAGTACGCTGTCTGTTAAATACAGAATATGTGGTAAACAGATTAAATATAATCAAAGAAATTAATAAAGACTGTTTTGGTATGAATGAAAGCAGCTTCAGCTTTCGTCTTAACTGTCTGTAATAACTGGAATTACAACTGCTTGAGCTAAATTCAGCTTTGTCTTTTTCTCTTATTATTATCATAGTAATTTCTTTGCTATGATGCAGAAGCTCAGTGTGAGGATAATGATGGTTTGGTGCTCTACAAACTCAAATATTTTCTCATAGACGAATTATCAGCAGGCTTGATGATATTACCAGGGCGAATTTCTTTAAGGAAGTGAAGCTTGTTTAATTAGTATACAAATGTTTAGGTAGTGTCTTTATTGACCTCAAATGATGCCAAGTTGTAAGTTAGAGAAGAGATTTTTACAACAAATTGACTTCTTTGAACCTACATGTCATTCAGTTATAGTGAAAGATAATCTTCATAGAAGTGAAACTGTGCTTTATTTTACCTATCACATTGTGGTAGATTTTTGATTTGTCTGTGTACTTCGCACTTGACTGGTGGTTGACTGTCTGATCCGTTTTATATATCATAAAACTTTCGGCCTAACTAATTATAAAACTGGTCATAATGTCAACTATACTATGTAACAATATTTCTTTTCACAAAATTTTAACTTCATGACTACTTTATCACTCAGTCTTGAGAAATCTTAATGATCGTTTTATTTTAAAAATTTTGACTTTGTTGGCTTTTATCAAGCTAACAAGATGGCGTCAGCAATTTACAGATCTGTCGTATCTTTAAAAACTAGTATTCTAGTTTACTTTATCAAGGGTGATGAAGTGAAGTAACACTGTTTTGTTTCCGATGACGGTTTTATCTCAGGAGATAGTGGCATTCTTCATAACAAGCTTCATCATTTTTTCTAGGTTTAACAAATACATGATTGAATTACTTGTCAACAATGTGATTGTTTCAGCGCTAAAAATGTCTGTCTTAAATCATTCAAAATGTATTTTGTGAATATGTGATTCAGTAGTTTTAGTAATCAAGTTTCCAACAGCAAATGAATGATTCGCTTCATCGATTGAAACTCAGCCTTCTAAGATATTCAATATATTGGTAGGTGGGAAGCACATGCCATCAGCTAAGTACCATAGGTATAACTCATATTCTACCTAGAGTTATAAATGACCGAATTATAATGATATATATATATATATATATATATATATATATATATATATATATATATATATATTATTTAGAGGTAGTACTCATCACGGACTGATATCATTTAGGGAACCACTGAAAACCTGGGAGCATTAGATAACTGTTTCGTCCTAGTATGGCACTGCTCAGCAGTACGCATCCATGACTCAAGCAGGGCTCGAACTCAGGACCTTCAGGTTTCGCGGTGAACGCGTTAACTACTCACCCATTGCGCAGGGTTTCAGCGGTTCAGTTTTCAACTCCTGTCAGGTCACGATATAGCACGACTATCCACCATGGTCTTCAGTTGGCATCTGTTTCATTTCGCGCCATATTCTGAATTGACAGAAGCTGGATAGTGTGAAGCACTGGAATCTGACCCAGTGGCTGAGTGATTAGTGCGTTCGCCGTGAAACCCGAAAGTCCTGAGTTCGAGCCCTAGCCAGAAAGTGGGTACGTAATGCTGAGAAGTGCCATACTCCCAGGTTTTCAGTGGTTCACCAAGTGATCTCAGTCCGTGTTGAGTACCACCCCTAAATTAAAATCCTCATTTATCTCAAAAATATATTACAATATGTCGAAACTAAAAGACAGTTAATACGACTTTTTATCAAGTGGAGAAATTCAACCTCAGAAATCTTAGCAGGTAAAAATCCTAAATTTGTACTGTGGAAACAGAAAAAAGCCTAGCGACCACCGGGAATCCGGCTCGATCCTTTACCAACTGAGCTACGAGGTCTGACTACTAACCAGATTTTAGTTTCGCTCCAATCATCAAAGGTTTTGGCCGACTGTCATATGAATACATGACCCGTTACTATTTCTTGATCGTGTTCACACTGACTGCCTAGTCACTAAAGATTGGCATCGTTTGAATAACTTAACAGCTGTTTTCTACGATTTCGAAAAGACTGACCATTGTACTCTTTAGATGAAATACTGGATTATATTTAAGGTAAGTTAGTTTCTTGTAAAGAATATTATTACTAGAGTTTTCGATTATATTTTATAATATCAAAGTATCAGACTTCAGCAAGAACATTTTGTGTTGTTGATACTTTCCAGTGCCTTTAAACTAATCGGTTTTTCAAACGTTGCACATAAGAAACAGCGTAGGGTTGTGAATTCTTTTGAATAAAAGTTTTTCTTTGAATGGTTGCATTCATAAATGTTCACCAAAGTGGTCAAAATAAGATGTTTAGTACTTCAATGCATTTAGAATCAATCTAATTCAATTTGGAGGTTTGTGGGGATTTATTTATGGATTTTGGTTGGTATTCAACTAAGGAGTCCCATATTAGGAAAAAACAGCTGTTCAGGTATACTAGGTTTCCAATATTTCTCAAACATGTCAGATCATGATGAATACCAAAGTGAAATTAATAAAATCCATCTATCTTAAAATTGTCACCTAAAATCTTGTAATTCTTCAGTTTTTATTCTGAAGAAATAAGAAATCGTACTTTTTTGTGCTCATTCTGCTTACAACAAAAAATAACACTGCTGGTTGATTTTTCTTATCATGTACTTCAACCATGAGTAGTTAGATTATGAATAGACTCCATCCACATGTTGTTTTAGAAGAAAGTTAACACTTCCAAAAATACTGAAAATAATTTAAGATCAGATTAGCTTATTCTAAAGATATGCGTATATATATCAAACATCAATAGGTATTTCTTAAAAGACAGTTTTTGGTTTTGTGATGCAAATGTGACTTTCTAGCTCAAGCAGAGCATGAAAACTGTTTAATTTTCTCTGATATTTCACCATGAATTTTTCATCATCAGATTTAGTGACATCATCGCTACTAAAGACTTGAATAATTTAGATGAACTGATAGGCTGAAGGAATGTTTATGTAATGCGTTTGCTAATATATTGGGGTTTAGTAAGCTTTTTTCAAGTGGTTGGAGGTAATCGGTGATTATCATCGAACTCACATTTTATCCTTTCAGTCACTCGAAAACGAATCAGAAAAGTTAAAATCTACTCGGCAATCTTGTGCATATTTTTGCTGTAGGTAATGAGCCGCACCTAATGTGTGAGGAATATGGATACTACCTGGCTGCTCAAACCTAGGTATATGAGGCGACATTCAAACCCATTACCCATTGGTTAGAAATAAACTCCCTAAATCAATCAGCCTCAGCACCACCCTTTTGTCACTGGAAAAAAAGAAACTATGAACTCAGACAAATCCACTACATCTAAACTTCTAGTTTTTGTTTTCTTTTGAAAGTGGTATTCACTTTTCAGTTACACATGTTGTATATCTGCGTAAAAAGTAACTAAAACACTAACCTGGAAAACTAAATTTCAAAACAAATCAAAAAATATCCACTTATAAATTGGAATGTATGAAAAATAAAAATTTGAGAAATGATTGCAAGGGTATGGCATCCAAAATTTTGAGGATAGCTTCAAAACATCCTGAAACGAAGGTATTATTCTACGATGGATATTCAGTATTTTTTACACTCACTATCTTCCTGAGTACTAGAATGAAATAAATTCCATATATCACTTCAGTTACTCACGAGTAGTATGAATATAAACCAAAAAATGCAGACCGTAGTGTTGATAGTCTATTCATCTGGATTTTATTTAGAAATTTTTAATCACATCATCTCATTTATTACATAACAGTCCCCTTCTTTTAATTTAAAATATCATACTTCTGCAAAGGCTGTTGTATCAAGGAATGCTGTGGGAGTGGACAAAGATTTTGAGTATATTCAGCAGTATGTAAGCGTTTAAGAAACATGTTTACTGGATGGAATAAAATAAGCAATTAAAATATTTCTTTTGTACATTCAAGACCACTGTTACGTAATCGAATTCCCGTTTATTCACATATATGTAGGAAAATACATAATAATCGTAGAAGGGAGGTAGACAGGAAGATGAAATCCAAATGTTATTGAAAAAACACAGGTAAATACAAAACATGCAGATGGTACGTAATTTTTTCGGTTCCTTTGATTGAGAAATATCATTTTCGGGAAAATTCCGTTGTATTTATACACACACCTGTTCGTACACACTATCACTAACGTCTTTGATTGGCTGATCTTTTAAAGAGTGAATCAGAAAGTGTTTTAGTAGATAAGTGGAACAAACAAAGAAAAATCAGGAAAGAAGACTTCTCTAAGCATCAACAGACGATCTCAATGAATACGATTACTGCTTTCTATTCTAAATCTGGAGCACCATAACCTAGTCTAGCTAATGTGATATTTAATCTATGTCGTTGTATTGCACGAAATTGTTGTTCTCTCACTTCAGCTTTAATAGAAATAGTTCGCTTTGATCCATTTAAGTGTAGATTTGAAGACCCATTTTGTTGATATTGGACATTTATAGCTTCATTTTCATTTGCATTATTATCTTCATTAATTTGATCAAATTGCTGAGTTTTTCCATTTTCCCCACTTAATGGACTATTTGCTAAACCACGTTTAATGATACTCAAATATTGGAAAAGATTTACAACTGCAACAATTCTGTCACGTGCTTGTGAAGATATATTACAGTCCAGTTCATCGGAATCAGATGCCTGGAGAAGAAAAAAAGGTTGCGAAAACATGTGCTTTTAATCATCCTTTCTGTCAACATTTTATTACAGAGATATTGGCTGAATAACTGATTGGTTTCAGATGATCTACAGGAAGCTTTCAAGACCTAGGTGTCATGTTCGCTGACATTCATTAATTAGATATACCCATGACCATGAAGTAAGCTAATATATCATAAGGATTCAATTTTCCGACAAAAGCTGTCAGTAAGAGAGGTCTCTTGTGAAACCTTTTTTCAACAGGTTCTTGCAGCTAAGATTTCCCAATGACTTCCAGCACACATGAAACCCAAGAGTAAGGAGAACTCATATAGATAACAACCGACTGTCTAGGATTAGATGAATCACATAGATTCATAGTTGAATTGTAGATTTATTCGATCAAATTCTTTCAGCATCTAAGTTTAGACAGCGGGATATTAGAGATTCCTAGTCAAAGGGCAATACTTAATATGAAAAACATTTGGTATAGTGGAATTCGTCTAGCCTTAGCTACAAATTATCCATTGAATTAAAGGCAGACTATATCCTCAGCTGATACCATTTGAATGAAAACCAAAAAGGAATCCACGAAACTTTATTTGGTGAAGTTCGATATGTCTGATTATCAATTTATTGTTTCCACTTTCAGTAAAGTAATCTTTCAGTCCTAAATAACCTCGCCCACGTAAGTAGTTCACCAGTTACTAGCCAGTCCCAAGCCTGAATAAAGAGGGAAGGTTGGGAATAGGGCTAGCAACACTTCCCCGTAAAACCAACCCAACCACTAAAGAAAATTCAAAGCAGAGAGAAAAAATAAGAAATAAAAATTTCCCTCGCTAGATTCGGAGAGGTGAAATGACGCCGGTTGGTGAAAGCCTGCCTTAGGGAAGCCAGTCAGCCAATGTGTCTTCTCGCTCTTCATTAAAGCAAAAGTAAACATAGGGACATGCAATGTCCACACAATGTTTGAAGCTGGCTGGCAAGGCTACCCAGATTGAGAAACAAATAAGAAAATCAAGCATAGAAGTGCTAGGCTGCCAATATACGAAAGTAGACGGAATAGCAGTGGAGTCTCAAAACTGTCAACTGGATTGGAGTCAATAATCTACCCAGATATTGTCACCCAGATGACAACCACCAGCACACTGAGTTTTCGAGTGGCTATCATAACGCCCCCAACAGCATCGAAGGCTTTCATGCAGTCGGAACCAATCTCCTCCTATAGCATCTGGATCATGATAACAAGATTCAAATCAAAAGGAAGGAAAGTTACAATCATACAATGCTACGCTGTGCACCCACAAATAATGCAGATGGAGAGAAGAAGGAGGAATTGTACAGACAATTGCAATCAGTACTGCACAAGACCCAACTCCAGTTGGCGACATCGAAATTCTAATGGGTGGGGTGACATGGATGCCAAACTGGGAGCGGACAACACAGGAAGAGAGAGAACTCATGCATGATCTGTCGAGAGACACTCGGTGAAATGATGAATGAGAATGGAGACGTGTTTCCAGATTTCTGCACATCCAACGGTTCGGTGATTGGAGGCAGTGTGTACAAACACAGGGATATTCACAAAGCGAAATGGACTTCACCAGACACCAGGACACACTAAAAATCAGATCGACTTCATCTCAATGTGAGTAAAGTGGAGATGCAGCCAGCCTAGTGGACACAAGATCAGATGAAGAAGGGGAGCAGGTGTAAGTTCACACCACTCACTACATAGTTCAAGGAACCTGCCTTCCAAATCATGTTGAAAGCCTTGAAAGAAGTTGGTGATAGATCGCAGTTCAAGTTGAACACCCAGAACACAAACTGTAGGACGAAACTACAAAGGACATCTTCACAGCAGCCACCAGAACAAAACTGGAAACTTTGAGCAACACTCCTGAAGAAACGTGTGTGGAAGAACAATGGAACTCTCTGAAAGAGATGTTGAAAGAAACCTGCATGACCGTATTAGGAAGGAAGAGGAAACAAGGCAAGAAATGCATCTCGATGGACACATGGAAGCTGATAGAGGAGGCAGAGGAAGATGGTGAAGCAGGAGATGAACTAGTGCAGTGCGGTGTAGGGATGGCCAACGGAAAGAGGAACTGAATACAGCCTATAAAACATTACACTGGATAAAGAAGTGAAGAAGTGTGCTTCAATTATACCGTCGTTGATTGGACCGAATCGATCTGTCTCTATTGGCATATGGGCTCCCGTGTGGATGCCTCTATATACCTGTGCTCTAGTTGTAGTAATGATGGATAGTGGCTAGCAGTGGAATCCAGGATATGCATTTCGTCCTCTTTGAAACTTGTCAGCTGGATGTACCTGCCTCCCAGTGAGTGATGTTGTTCCCACCGGGATTCAGGAGCTATCCCCTCAAACCACAGAGCGTTATCCACTACACCACCGATCCACGATAGCCACTTCTTGTACGACGGATATAGTTTTAGTGTTATCACTTGTATTATACCTTCGTTGATTGGACTGAATTGATCGGTATAATACAAGTGATAACACTAAAACTATTTCCGTCGTATAAGAAGTGGCTATCGTGGATCGGTGGTGTAGTGGATAACGCTCTGGTGTTTGAGGGGATAGCTCCTGAATCCCGGTGGGAACAACATCACTCACTGGGAGGCAGGTACATCCAGCTGACAAGTTTCAAAGAGGACGAAATGCACATCCTGGATTCCACTGCTAGCCACTATCCATTTTTACTTCTCTTTTCTACCAAATTTCGTGTTTCCTGAAATCCAATAATAATACATAATTAGTGAGGCTATCGCAGATGTCCATAGCTCGGGAGATGAGATTTTGTGTGATACTTGAAGGCGAAGTGTAAGTCCGGACGGTTGAAGTGATCCAACTCAGTGGCCAGTAGTTCGAACCTTTCCACTGTTTTATCTTCGACTATCACTCTGCTTCGTAATAAGTATTAATCTGAAATGTTGTATTGACGTCTCAAATACATTATCAACACAATAGTCTATGGACCATTATTCTAGATCCTGAAGGTAAAGTTTCAAGTTCAAAAATGCTCTAAAGACCCAAAATAACTGGCTCAAGGGATGTAAACAAAGTAAAACGCTGTTTAATAAATCTATCTATCTATCCTACCTATTTCCACGTTATTATTTTGTCAGCAAAAACTGGTTACCTGACAAATGAAGCAGGTATCAGAAATCAAATCTGATATTCATTGACTGATGAATAGCCTTCTGTGTCACCCTCCTCATTAGTTCTGACATTTGAAATGACTTTAGGCCAAGTACAACTTTTTTGAAACACATTTTACTTGTAACCGGCTTGTCATACTCACTGTCAAGCTAATAATCAGTGGCTTTCTTTCTTACCTACTGGAAGGAGACTGTCATCACTCATCTAAGCATTGCATCAGAAATTTGAATGTAAGACCCGATAATTTTCTAAACAGACATTTATCTATACAGAGTGACAGAGTGACTACATAATATACTGGCTAAGTAGCAGCCTAGAAGGTCAAGCTGTGTAGCATTATTCATTTACTAACATCATAAGTGAGGCAAAGAATAAAACCTGGATCGCTATAGGATTCTAACCGACGGCCTCCAGGTTGCTTTCGTGGTGCCCTAGCTACTGAGATCTTGATTTCACTTCAGTCATCGGCGCAGTAGCCAGGAGGAGGCTGGTTCAAATTCCACCGCTACTTAGATTTTCATTTCACTTTCAATCATCACTCAGAATTAATAATACAAATCTGCCAAATCACGGCCATCTCAGATTGTCAGGCTCATACAGAATAAAATGGTTGATAAATTTCTAGGTTGTAGTAGAAGAATGATACAGCATGGGTGGATAAAAAGAAGGTAGTGTAACGTAAAATAAAAGGTTCTGATCTGAAGATATTAGAGAGTTAATGTGGTCTGTTTTGCTTTCAGACAACGACCTTGTACAGTTATGGATAAATAGTTTCTCACATATTTCTTCGTTGTTTGTAAGTTTTTATCTACACTCCTCAATAGCTTCGACGAAAACAATCACACAGTTTCGCTCTATCATTTCACATGAATATGCTTAGCCAAGCCGAATAGATAGGTGTGCCGTAAGTTGGAAAGTGGATAAGTAATAATTATTCAAAAGTTGACTATCAAAGTCATGGATTTGACCACCATATTGGCGACTAAAGCTAGGTTCTATATTAGCTTGTTTACTTTGATATGGCTCACAGTGGTATAGTATTATTTACTGCATGATGTTTCGAACAGAATGTATTGCTCAAATTCATATCAAAGTTATCATACAACTTTCAATCTTCACGTTTACATAGTCCAACAGTTTTTCATTCGTTTATTTTAATGACAGCTAAAATTTCCAGATATCTGCAACATGTGGTGAGTCATTCCTGTTACATGTGTTGGGTGTTGATTCAATGAACAAAGATTCTGTGATGAATCTCTCCCTCGACCTAGTTACATTGGATTCTAGAAATCACACTGCATCCCATCCACCGTATAGTGTGATTATGGGACGATAGATTCAGAGCGATAGCCGAGTTTTTCTCTAAATTACTTATCTTAGTAGGGTTTACCACTTCATGTTTCGCTTAATTTTTGTGCTCCATTTTTCTGACTGATACTGATTGGTTGCCTTGACCTATGTACTTGACCTCACAAAGATTACATCGTGTTTGATACACTAGATTATTTTTCTTAATTGGCTGTACTAAATCTTTTCACCAACAAAATCCCCCTCTGATCAAACTTGTGGGCTTAAACACCATGCTGATCGCAGCACTATTAAGAATTGTACATAAACGTTCCGATATGCCTTCTCTATTTGGTAACAATACAGTGAATTTGAATTTTCTCTTAAGAATGTTGGAGTTACAAGTAATATTATCACACTTCCTAAACTTCTTCATAAATTTCGAAAGGTAGTTATTACATAGTAGTGTCGCTTTAGGGTGTTGCAGCTCCTTATTCAGGTTTTTTGACCAACTAGTCAGACTCCTAGCCCGATTACTCAAATATTTTTTTAGGCCCACCGTGGCAGATATAAGGTGAAATACCCGGAAATCTGAGTATTCATTCGAACACATTGGTTTTTGGTAAAAACTAGTATCGCAGTTTCCATCTCCTCTCCTCTTCATTTAGTAATTCAACTTAGGTTATTCTCCTCTTTAACTTTGTAATTCTTAAGTGAATTAAATTGCATTTAGAATGAAGTCTTCGTGTGTGAGAAACCCTGGATATGGACCAAATAATCTATCGAATAATATGTAATAATTGAGGTCAAGTACATAGGTCAAGGCAACCAATCAGTATCAGTCAGAAAAATGGAGCACAAAAATTAAGCGAAACATGAAGTGGTAAACCCTACTAAGATAAGTAATTTAGAGAAAAACTCGGCTATCGCTCTGAATCTATCGTCCCATAATCACACTATACGGTGGATGGGATGCAGTGTGATTTCTAGAATCCAATGTAACTAGGTCGAGGGAGAGATTCATCACAGAATCTTTGTTCATTGAATCAACACCCAACACATGTAACAGGAATGACTCACCACATGTTGCAGATATCTGGAAATTTTAGCTGTCATTAAAATAAACGAATGAAAAACTGTTGGACTATGTAAACGTGAAGATTGAAAGTTGTATGATAACTTTGATATGAATTTGAGCAATACATTCTGTTCGAAACATCATGCAGTAAATAATACTATATCACATCACTGTACGACATATTAAATAGGTAGCTTGAGATGGAAATATACTCTTCCAATACGCTTAAGTTTTGCTGTTACGTTGACTGAAGTTAGAGTATTCAGGTAGTTTATCATTAGCCGCACCAAATCATGGGTGTTACTCAACAAGTAGTGTCCAAACGTGAACATACCTATCAAATTGGTATTATCTATCTGTCGCCGGAAACAAAATACATTTATTACAGTAAATAAAAAGTGAATGGTAGAAAGTTATTTTGTAGTACATGAAAATCCTGACGTTAGAGGAAAACCTAGAATTTAAGCATTTGTAGCTGAAATGTTCAACATCGTCATAATGCTTTGTGAGTGGACAGAGTTTAGTTACGTTGACAGAAATGGAATTAATACCCTTCTCGGAATATACATAGTTGACTTCCTTTATTTTGACAACCTATTCAACGAATAACGTGTCTATTGGCAAATAAGTTAATTTATACTTATATATTGATGTTGATAAAGTATCTACTTATTCGATGGTAATTAATATCAGGCCAATACCACATTCACAATCAAACTTCGTTTATCCACTGGCTTCTTCCCCACTATTACGCAACCTCGTTGTCCTTTCCAAAGCTTTGACGTGTTTTGTCTGTATGAACACATGTTTACATTGTCATGTCATTCTGAACATTCGTATTATCCTTTATACTGCCACTAATTTTATTATTCTAAAGTATTCGATCCGTATCTTTGCTATCGTTGACTTACACATTATCTTGATTGGTTGATAGACATATTGAAAGTTATGTATATTACAGTGAAGCCTTATGAGATCTAACTGAGAACAATATTGTTCGTTTACATGTCTCGTTATAATATTCAGTATATAACAGAGCTGTATTCTCACTACACTCAGCGTTGGACATTAGAATGCAGTTAGTTGTATTTTGAACATCCGAGTTTCATTTAAACTCAACAAATTAGTATATATAAAACAGTCACAAGTTGAATTACTTACTAATACGAACGTTTTTAGGCCAAAAAGATGCCGAACTTAGTTTTGCAACTCACTCTGTCTTCCCAGGATAACTACTTTATACTCGATATACAAATTACAGTTCATATACAAAATTTAGCTATAAGATGCCCGCGGGTTAGGATATTCATACGAATAAGTAATTTGTTTTGTCTTTATGTAAATGATAGTCATATGACTATTTGCTGTTCGTAACACTAGCTGCCCTCTAAACACGTCTTCTGAATCCACTTCAATCCTTCTTCTTCCTCTCAATTTCAGTTGGTTTGCATAAAGACCAGAAGACACAAAAGAAGAAATAGTCATATAAATCTAATTCATTAGACGATTAATCGAAACATGCACTACTAAGTGATATCGAAACCCGACTAACATTTAAGTCTTATGTTAAGTGATTAAAGTAGCTAAGTGGTTAATCAGAAAGACACTTGTTCAAATACTGAAATACTGTTTGCTTGTTTTAATCAACTTTTATTAAAAATAAGTCAACGGTGTTAAGTGTAACTTACTCTTATTCGCATACTGAATTCTGCTTCATATTTCGGCAGTAGTACACAGCGTCCTCTGGTCACTTGTGTCGTCATTATCCCATTATTATTAGTATTGTCATTACTACCATGTAGACTACCACTGAGTTCCTGTGCTATCGGTATAATCTCTAATGCTAGTTCAGGTAGTGCTCGATAGATTGATAGGAGTAGACTTGGACTAGAAAACTCAAAACATGGTTTTATATCTTGTATATAAAGACGATGAATAAAGTTGAGTTTGGTATTCAGCTGACAGTTTGAATCACTTGAATGACTAACACATACAGAGGAATGGGGTGATACGCTAGGTATTGGTAAATGCTGCAAATTACCACCTGCCTTGCTATTATTATCACCATCAGTATTCTTCTCAACGATATTACCATCCTTATGGATTAATGAAGCATTCAGCGAGGAGTATTCATGGTCTTTATCCTTTTGATCAACAGGAATTGTTCTTTTAACATTAATTATTTTTATTTTCGGTTGTGTACGTGTAGACACTGGTGAAGTTTGTGAAAAAGTATTTTTATTCTTCATAACATCTTCTTTGGAATGATCTACTGTATTGTTGAAAGCACAGCTATTTGATAAATCAGTACATACTTCATTCTTGGGTACACTCAGATAATTACTTTCATTTGGATTATAACTATCATTCAGTAGACCAGATTTTTGTATATCGTCACCCTTTTCAGTATTTATTTCTTTGACATCGTTTTCATTCTTTGCATTGGTGCATAACTGTTCATTCAACTCTATAAACACTGTATTCGGTAAATTCAATGAACAGTCATCTTGTATCCATTCTAAAAATTCCTGATGAAAAATAAAATATAATAGGAAACCTTTAAAAAGGGTTTGACCTTTTAACGTAATTATAACAAAAATAACAAGCAGAGAAAACAATTTGATCCTTCCTACTTTCAGTTGCTAGTAGAAATTTTTTATCACCGTTGAAGTTCTTGATCTTCTTCCTCATTGACTAACAGGACTAAACTGATCAGTATTTGAGCTTTCATCTCGAAACACCTGATGTCTTACCGTTGAATGCATGTTTTCAGCAACCAGCAATAGAATTCAGTCCAGTTGTTTCATCCCACTTGACACTCATGAGTTCGATGTGATGTTTCCAGTGAGATGCCTACCTAAATTATATACTAGAATCTTGGTGGAAACAACACTCACTGGAAGGCAGGTACATCCCGCTGATGAATCCCAAACAGGATGAAATGCCCATCCTGGATTCCACTGCTTGCCATTATCCACCTTTATTATATACTAGATTATTTTATGTAGCACACAGTGATACAAACACTGGCGTAGTGTCCACTCTAATGTTGAGTCACAAAGGCCTCGTCTTAGAAAGCGGAAATCAGTTTCTACATTCCAGGGAGTACGAGACGCACGTACTATATTCCACCATCAACCATTGCCATATATACATCATCTAATAATTGGTTTCACAATAGAGTATTTAGACATGACTTGTAATAAGAAGTTGTTTTTTCCCGTCAGGTTTTCTGTTCGTAGACTTTTCGAGATAAAACTAGGTATCAGGGCGTTTTCTGCGTCACACTGTCGTAATGTTCTGAGATAAACCTCACTGTCATTTGGTGTTATTACTTTACAGTTCATTTGTTTATACAGCGAAGGTCCCATATTAACTTTCACTAAACACACCTGTTAATAAACGACTTACTTATCACTAACAAGTGGTACATTTTGATGGACACTTCAACATTGTGAATTTATTTTCCTCTAACGCACCTTCATGTCGAAGTGAAACCTTCCTTTACTGATGGCTATTATATTCGTAAGATTGAATGAAACTTTTTCGAAGCTAACACTTATAAAATAAACGTATGTTATTGGTCTCAGCAAAGCATTCTTTGGGTTCTGACATCATTTAATATCAATTCATAATCCCTTAAGAAGACAAAATCCTATACTAAGGGTAGCTATTATGTTTCAAACACCTGAGCATCCGGAACCACCCTTCTAAAAACCTGTCTCTGAAAGTTAGGGATAGAAAATTGTCCTTTCTAAGTCACTACTATCCTATTAAGAACTCACACAGTTGATTGTCATATTCAAAATGTTTCAAAATATGCTACTGAACAACATGAACCGAAATCGAAATGCACTCAGTAGCCTTGTGCACATTAATACAGTAGGGAATGAGCCACACCTCTTGTACGAGAGCTAGTGGTAGTACCTGGCTACCTTAACCTCGGTAGGTGGACTCGAGCTTCAACTGGCGACTCATCTCCTTAAACCAATTAGCCACAGTATGGTTAGTTAGTAACCCCTCATGATGATCGGACAAAATATCACTATGACCCATGATCATTCTTTTCGAGGTTTATCAACATACGCCAAGTCACTTGAATAGATTTACCTTTCTACTCACTGATTGCTAGTCGATTAGGAAATCCAAACTTTAGGGGCCGTCCTCTTATGGTCTTCACTATGGAGTACGAATAGGGATAATCGAAACTAAAGTTTAACCTGCATTTAACATTTCCGTCGGTCTACACATATTTTTAACGACTTAGACTTAACGTTCGCTAAAAATATACCTATAGGTTAATAATTAAACTTGAAAACTCATTGTTTATTTCAATCTAAATTACATTTGGTGAAAACTTTCACACTAACTGAACTCATAATAATCTGACTTATTTCTTTGATCTTACTAAAAGCACTACCTACAAATAGATGAAAATCATTTGGTCGAATTTCTCAGCAAGACAATAAGAAAACTGGAATATAAGTTTTCCGAAGTTGTGTGAGTCAGTATCAGTGTGGAGGAATAAACAAGCTAATATTGATTACTAAACACTAGGATTATTTTTGTGTTTTCGTTACTGTCTACTTTTAGGTTGGTTCTCATCATGGACTAACACCAGTTGGAGAAATATTGGAAACCTAGAAAAACTGGACAGCTGTTTCTCCCTTGGATGGGACTCCTTAGCAGTATGTACCTATTACCTCGCGGTTGGCAGGTTACCACTGAACCACTGGATCGGAATCCAATTTTCTATCTTTCTTACTTCTGTCAGTCTACTTTTATACTTTAATATCAGTTGAACATTGAGTAGGCCATTACAGCAGCTAAAAGATGAAGTAGTGGTACTAACTAATACCGAAAATAATCAGCATATATTTACAGAAACTGATTATGACGATGATGATGATTAGTTCAAGCAGCGGTGTACCATAATGTGATTCGCTTGCTTCACATATTCAGCAGAGAACATCGAATTTTCTTCATAACTTTTAATACACTTAATATAATCTCTGTACTTAAACTTATATACATGAGATAAGCATGACAGAAGTGTTGTTATTGTCAATGTACGATAATTATCTCAGTAGAAATGGAAATATGCAGGATGTTTGATCCATAGTAAGTAGTAGAAGTAGCTGTTGCCTTTTTATGACTTTTCACACTACAGAGGTCTTGGTGGGAGTTTTGAACATCTAGTGATATGTAACATGATTGTTGTGCTTTCTTTAGAAACACTTTCACTACGAGCAATTCATCTCTATGGAGCTTTGAAACTTTGAGTTGGGATGTGCTACAAATAGCCTCAATCTACATATTTCAGCCCTCTATCCTATATTAAGTTCTAATTGGGACTAACGGTTTCTTTAAATACATTGCCATCATAAACTTTTATACTATGAATGCAAAAAGGGAGAAATTGACTCAATAATTAGGTCATCAAGCCTTCTGCACCTTTTCAGGCCTTACAGAATTTTGTATGCTACACTGAATTCATTAATCATCAAGGGTTAGTATGAAAAACAGGTTATTTCTCTGTTTGCTTCTATGTGAATGGGTTATATCTACAAATGGCATCCATAAGAGAAATATGGTATTAGTGCAAATCGAAAAAAGCAAAATAACTGACAGAGTGTCATAGGCCACAGCTCATACAATATTCTTTAATAGTAAACGTTTAAAATAACTTGAGTACTTATGCTCTGTATGTTGATAACTGTATAGGTGTAAAACTACTAGGTGGTGTATTTATCTAAACAGTTCATTTTTTGTGTCTTCGTAACTACACTGGAACATTATAGTTCGACATCTACTTGAAAAATCGTGGATAAAATCTTCACTCAGCTCCACTAAGATCAACACAAAAATCCCCCAGAGAGCTTTTAGATAGTCGGAGAAAATTACTAAAATTATCTAAAAATGCTTTGATAGACTTTACTTCCAAAACGATAACTACACTTAGACAAACATTTCCCATAATGCAAAACTACACTATTCGTTATGAGCTGCCTCCATATGAGAAGTGTCTTTTAAGGCTTGTTGCTTCATTCATTTGAAACACTAGAATTATCAAATAGAATGGTTTATCTTCTTTAAAAACATAACACTCCAGGGCTTGATCAGCTTTTACGGTTATGAATGTTGTTTCTCTTAGTCTGATGATAAATACTGGAGTACTTTTTACATATTACCACCTGATACCATTTTGACGTATATAAAGTTGTATATAGGACTTAAATTTTGCACAGTGATATTCTCAAGGCTGCTAGCCATCTTGATAACCAGTAAACAAAACCGACTTCAACGGAATCACGACAAAATTGTACTCTGTGAGCTACTGAATGGCACCAGCGATTGTAGGTCACCGTTGTTATCAACAGTACTCGTCATATCTAAACTAAGTGATCTCAACAATCTGAATTCATTAAGCTTTTTCGAGACCAGTGTCAGCGGAAGTATATCTAGACTTATTTCTAAAAAGATATGAGTAGCTCTTCCCTGCTTCAATCCGCCTAAAATACTTGAACACTTTCCTGTAACTTTCAATTCACAAACTCTATCTTAAGCTTTTGGATTCATTTTGGAAGTAATACTCAGTGTTATGTCTTAACGCATGCACTGTCCACTCTGTAAGCAACTACCACGTTGCTTCTCGGTCACTGTACCTGAATATCATCGAGTCTTTTAATTTATAAAATAATGTAAAGCCAATACTTGCTACCTTTACTTCACATTAATGCCTAATATCTTATGACCGATATCATGAATCCAATTTCAGTTTGACTTCTACTTCAGCAGTTAAAAAACATTTATTAGAGAATATGGTATACATTATTTGAACCAACTTAACTAGTAACAGCACAAAACTTGGGCATTATCTTTTAGTGTAACTCCGTATTTATTTCACTTATTTGGTATACTACGTGGTGATACAGAATTATTTGCTGTATGACGTTTTGAGCTTAATTTATTGCTCATAATCACCTTTAATTATTCTCACAACTTTTAACATCTGGTTTTAATAGTCCTTTCAGTTCTTATTTCTTGTTCACGGTGCTAGCAAAGTTTATTCTGGAATCTCTGGAATGGGTGTTGTGTCACTCATATTACATGTGTTGGACTGTGATTCGATGAATAAAAGTTCATTAGTCAGTCTCTGTTTATCCGCCTAACTATATTCGCCTTTAATACAGTTTTCACTTTATTTTCTAACCTAAAACAATTATCGGAGTTAATTCACAGAACATAGGAGTAAAACTTGGGCACTGTGATAGCTTGTAATTCCATTTTAGTATGTTTACTAGCAATGTCGCACAGTGAAATACTATCATTTACTGGACAATATTTCGGACACAATTTACTGTCCATATTCACATCAGGCAACTCCGCAACTTTGAGAAAGAGTTTATATATTCCTAATTTTCTCTCTTTCTCTATGATGACAAGGGTAGTAGAATTTTCCATATATCTGAGACAGATGTAGGACCATTTCTATTGCATGTATTTGGTGTTGATTCAATAAACGAAGATTCGGTTATCCGTCTCTCCCTCCACCCAACGAATCATCGAATCAACGTCTAACACATGTAATATGAGTGACACAACACCCATTCCAGAGATTCCAGAATAAACTTTGCTAGCACCGTGAACAAGAAATAAGAACTGAAAGGACTATTAAAACCAGATGTTAAAAGTTGTGAGAATAATTAAAGGTGATTATGAGCAATAAATTAAGCTCAAAACGTCATACAGCAAATAATTCTGTATCACCACTTAGTATACCAAATAAGTGAAATAAATACGGAGTTACACTAAAAGATAATGCCCAAGTTTTGTTCTGTTACTAGTTAAGTTGGTTCAAATATTGTATTCCATGTTCTCTATTTCACTGTATGACATTGCTAATAAACATACTAAAATGGAATTACTTCAGAGAAAATGGTAACGTTTAATTTGTACAACTCCTCTGTGACGTTTTACGGAATACAAGTGAGATTTTCGAATTTGATCATTGAACGGGACATTGCGGATGTTGTATCCGCAATCATCTCGTCAATAATAAATTGAAAAAAGCCAGTTTGGTGGCCTAGCCGTGGCATGTGATCTTGGGCTCCCCATCAGCCAGTTTTATCTAGAATGACGTGCTGAAGTTCTCGATTCCCTTCGGGCCTAATACATTTCAATATATTTTTCACCAATACATTATTCAATGGATACCGAAGATATATTCAGAAGCTATGGTCTGGTCTTTCCCTGTTTGCCGCTGTGATAACTATAACATCAGAGTCAGTTTTTCAACAATCATCAACAGTGTGGCAGCAGTGCATGATATCAAATTACTGATGAAGACTGTTTAACATAATGCACTGTGATGGTGCTTAGCCTTAAGTTACGGGATACATGTTCCATTCTCTTTCAGAACGATCAGTTAATGATTTAAAATCGAACGTCAACCTAAGCTTAGTCTCCACTATGCAGTAACAACAGATAAACAGTAGGTAAAAACTAGATAAACACCTTACACTTGTTTTGTCCAAGCTGAAGACATTTAGGCGAAGTTACCAGAAAGACAGAGAGACAAAAATCAACGTTGAACCTCGCACAGGAGTGCATCGGCTCAAGTTGTCACGTTTCAAAGTAGTGTACAAACAGCAGGTGGACAGAAAAAGAGTGACATAAAAAAAATTGTATGATAGAATAAGCAACCTGAAGATAAAGGTTAGTGCAAACAATCAAGCTTTAGGTGTCAAGTAATGAATGCATCTGCACCTTTGTGACAGATTTTCAATCATTTCACCGTGTCCTCAACCACTGATTCTTTTCGTCTCGGAAATGAATATAATGGGGTTCCGGGGGGAAAATCACAATTTTGGGAGTCAGATAGGCTGTGGATATGATTGGACATCCGTGGTCAATATTCAGTAGTGACAAACGTACATTGTAAATCTGTCGTAGTCAAAAATATGGACCACTATATTTTGAACACTTGATAGAACAGTCACGTGCTTAACATGATACTTTTCTATTTTCTATCTAATGGCGTATAAAGCTGAAGATAGGTTCTATTGATAGGTATTAAATCTAGTGTTCTCAGGTGACTAAATTTCTTTCTTACCTTTAAATTATACCTTGTATTCATAAAGTTAGACTTTACCCATGTGATGTAGTCATAGGACTGAATACTTGTCCACTTACCATTATTATTATTGTTTCATACTTCAGTCACCTCACTTTCACTCCACAAGTATTCCTTTTTCAATGCAAATTGAAAATCAAGACATATAATCAAGCTGTTTCCGCTGTTCAGTTCCTGTTTCATCTGGTAAATATCTCACTGCAATACTAGACATCTGTGCTCAACTGATGATAGTAGTAACTGCTGCCAGACATTCACAAAAAGCATTTTTCGATACAGGTCTGTAAAATATGTAAGTTTTGACCTTCTTTTCAAGCTTTCACTGACAATAACATCTCGAATAGCGTTAAAACATTTCTTGTGAAACATTGATGGGTAGAGGTATAAAACGCGAAATATCATAAAATGCAGGTCAGACAGTCTTTTAGTCAAATTTCAGAGTTGATGGTTAGTATAAGCTGGTAATGTCTACCAAATTTGAACTCTCAGGCGTTTCGGCAAACATAAATATCTACAATACTTTGAACGCGGTTTTACAAGTTTCTGTTGTCAAACGTGACGAAGCTGGAATTTATAAGTATTATTTATGGTGGGAACAATGGAATGCTATACATTAGGTAGGAAGTGATAATGAAAAAGAAAATCGAAATTCTTTCAAACACTTAGGTAATAACAAAAAGCTAATTGGTAACTTATTCTATTGAATCAATTACAAAGTTGTTAAAGTTCACTGGTAATGTCTCTGAGTGTGGAATTAAAGAGCGGGAATAACGATCTCTGGAGGAGCATAAGTTTCTGCCATGCACTATCTAAACTTCGTAAAATGTAACGTCACTTATATAATCCAGGATAAGGGTTTCCTGTTGGTGATATCCAACCATATCAAGTGAATTACAAAACATCAAACGCCGCGTAAATTGGATTTTTACATAAATCATCGAGTTTCAGACCGAAACAAATGACTGAAAAACGTATTACTCAAATTTTCTTAAATTGACTCCTAAACTAAATCCTAATTTAAGAAGGCCCTGCCAGTTGAAGCGAGTTCGAGAAAAGATAAACAGGCGATTCTACTATGGAAGACATTCAAACAGCATTAATAATATTATTTGTCCTTTGAATTCCTAGTGGAACATACGGCTTCAGTAGCACATTCCCATTGCACTCTCTTCTCTGCAGTATTCTCAACCTGGCTCCACCACTGACAACAAGCTTTCATTTCTTCCCCACATCATCTCCTCCATGTCACCATCACCTCCGACGCCCTACTCGTCGTTTCACATTTGGATTCCACTCGACGACCTGGTCTGGTCTGGTCTGGTCTGGTGTATGATGTCCCAAAATGGTCTTCTCTGTGTATGCCCAATCCAATCCATCTCCACTCTCTTCTGCATATTTCTCAGTCGATGGGTTCTTGCTTCGTTGGTTCGTTGGCAGGCCAGAGTGGGTTCCTTGATGCTTATTCTTATTATTCTGACCATGCATCTGATCTTCAGTGTCAGTATCGAGTCAGTGTAGGTGGCAGCTGTTCATGTGATGTATGTCTGTAGTTTGTTGGAGATGCTTTTCGTGATGCACCAAGTCTCTCAACCGTCACATGCAAGCACTGACCTACTTGACTGAATTAGTGTTGAAAATCCGAATCTTGTTCACGCTTTATGCTGAGTGCAGTGCAGTGCAGTGCAGTGCAGTAGATCTCCACACTAATTTCAGGTTAATCAAGGGCTGTCATGCTTATTTGATCCCGTCTTTGTCATCCTCATCTGTGCCGCCGGCTCCACCTGTAGTTGAAACGATGCTGCCTTATCTGGGTGGGTGAAGGAGACTACTTCCTTCACGTTTCCCCCACTCATCGTGATTGGTGCCTCTTGTTGTTGTTGTTGATGCTGTTGCTGCTTCTGCTGCTGCCATCACTGTTGTTCGCTGGATATCTTCATCACCTCCGTCTTTTCCATGTTCACTTGAAGTCTCGTCTTCGCTGCCTCACCTCTCCTGTCAACTTGTTGCTGTTTGCCTGTAAATCTTCGAGTTCGTGCCACAAGACATTACACATAAATCATCAATGGCAAAATCCAAATCCTCTTGTATGTTGTTTTCATCGGTACAGCCAGCGTATGCCCATCTTCTCACAGCTCCTCATGGTTTGCTGCATGATCCAGTCCAGTCGACCACAATCAGGAAGATGATTGGTGATGGTAGGTGGCAACCTTGTCTCACTTCTCTCTGTCTTCACTTCGAAGGTATCACTGAGCTGCTTTCCATTGTGAATCACTTGGCATGTAGCATCATATAGCATATAGCTGCTGTTAAAAGAGGTTGATAATATTCTGAAACCATTTATCAATTAACATTAGGGGAGTATAAACACAACTATACACAAGCACACATGAGTTACCTACTTGAAATGCATCAAAATCTAAGTGATTTCTGCAGGCATGATTTGTAAGCATTGCTGTTAACAGATCACGTCGACTGAATTGCTCCAGTCCACTACTTTTATAAGAACTCTGTCTTGCATCCAATATATGAGACGTGGCCAATTTACGATAGACTTCAGGTGATTTATCACAAGCAATATTATTATATTTTAGTCTGTGTAAATGAATGAAAGCAAGAGAAAGCTTTAATGTACAATAATTACTTCATAAATATGGATAAACAAAGTATGTTTCAGAAGAAATATGAGTTTTGTTTTGACCTGAATCAACTAGACCCAAGATGCTGGTCATTAATCTAGGCGTTACCAATTATGCTGATTTCACAACCACAACCAATCATGCATTATATGACAGGTGTAGTGATTACGAAGCCTGGTTGTCCTACCCACTTTCGTCGTCAATAGTATTAAAAGTATTTTACAAATGATTTCCTGAAAAAAAACAATAATTTCATGTTTTCTATCGATTAAGTATTCATCCGTGTGTTATCTGATCCACAGTTGGCTTTGTATTGTGATATACAAGTTCATTGAGATGTTGTAGCTGATGATGTATAGGGTTACCGTTCCCATGTAATGATTTAATCTGAAGCCTTAAACGATAGGAAGATACAAGGTTACTGAAAATTATCTCTGGTGCATTTACGAATGAATAGAAACATCGTCGAAATGTTGACTAATTGCATAATTCTAACGTCGGAAAGAATAGCGAATCGACTAAAGAAGTAGTTGATGGATATTTGGTAGCAAAACCTTGCGAATTAAATGTACAGCACGCCATCGATTTTGAAGACAAGAGTATGTCATTGCTTTCTAACCACTTTGTGATTACTGTGAAAATAGTTTTTTGTTACTTAGTGACACGCGATATAAGCGAATTATCTTATGAGCCTCAGTAAACGATAACAGACGTGCTTATCGACTGAGGGCGCAGTGAATTAACATTCCGAACAATAAACATTGAATACAACAAAGAAAATCCATTTCCATGAAACCAGCAACAGTCATACATCTAATGATGTTGCTTTTAATATACCTTTATGGATTCATCAGACAGATATGACACAATATTTTTAATGTAAAGATCATTCTTAGAGATATCTAGTTATTACCTGTGAGCAAACTATGGTTACAATAGCTGCCAGAGGACTGAAGAATATCCCCTTCATCCCACTTGCTATTTAACTTTTAAATGTGTCCCTGTATTGCTGACTTACTAACTAAGACTCTAAACAACCACCCATTACCTCAAAAACTAGACAGAAACATAACAAGATATCAGGTTAAAGAAGTCTTCTAGATAGTGCTGAAGACTTTGAAACACAGTGACAGATTCTAATTTCATCCCTAACTTTAGGACATTTAGTAGCCAAGGTGTACAGCTGATGATACTTAGACAAGATGAAAATTATGTCTTGCATTCAACTTTCAGCTGCTACTACTACATGTAATTAATTTATTTCGATTATTTTAAGATAGTATTCATCATGGACTGATGTCAGTTGGAAAACTATTGAAAACCTGGCAGCATTGAGTAGCTGCTTCTTTCCAGTATGGGACTCCACAGTGAACACTGCCTTGTAATAAATAAAATCCCCGTCGATCTCGAAATATATTCCTATTATATTTATAATACAATTTTGAGTGGTATACACAAATGAATTTCTTGTTCAATGTTATAATGAATGTGAAAATATGCGTAAAAAACAAAATCGAAGCAGAATAACTTTGAACAGTTAAATAACATATTTAAATCTTTTTATATTGCACATTGAAACATCTAAACAAAATAATCATTGAAATTTGAAATGTGGTGAACATCCGTACATGTAAACACATATATAATAGTGTCTGTCACTAAATGTCTTAGTGAATAACAGCATACCTTTTAATGAATGTCAGTTGGTCATTTATGACGAGACAAGATGTGCATAGTTGATGACTAAACTAAATGCTTGTAATTCATCTAAATTCAAGCATTTCAATTTCTGTCCTTCGATTGGTGTATGAGCTTAAACTGATTGGCCATTGAAGAGTGAGGAGCCTATCGATCAAATTTACTAACTGGTTACCAAGGTATGAGACTCTCTATCACAGTGCACTTTGATTTTATGTCACTGTGTTGAATAGAATCAACAGGAAGCCCTGCTTGAAGTAGGTTTCATGCTTATTGGTACTCATTAGCAAGATGTGTTTACAACCTCCGAAGAATTGGTTTCCGCAAAAGGATTCGAACACATATTACTCGCTGCTGCAAAACAAAAAAGCTACTACTGAGTTATAAGACTAATCTTTGATAGGATCGGGTTGGTTATATTGATCGATCATCGGAGAGTAACCAATTTTATGTTATCAGAATCTATCGGATACCGTAGATCTATCTTTTTGTAACTACTAACAATTATCTGCAGATATTCTTTAACACTGAATTGCTTCATGTTTAGTTGGCAGAACAAGAAAAATTGAATGTTGGTAAATTTCTTGTGGCCAGTCAGATTATGAAAATACTAACATATATAGTGCCAGTGGTGGAGCGAACACTACAGTAGAAGCAAGTATTATTAAAACTCTGGTAGATACAGATCCACTTTCCTGAGACGTAATGAACTCCTCAGGGCAGAAATTACTATTTGGCTGTGTTAAATAAAAAAACCTGTCAAACAAGGTCTTAGGCATACTGCTACCCAACACACTGCACTTGCCCTATACTTCCTTACTAAATTTTAATGTATTCATCGGAGATACTGACTAAATTTTCTTTAAATTTTTATCTCAGATTAAAGAGCATTCTTGAGCTAAGCTATGAACCTACATCTCATTTCATTCAACTGAACATCCTGTGGTCAACAGAAGTCAGTAATTATCTGAGTGGAAGCTAGACATCATAACTGGCAACTGAAAATGTGAGTGATCTTGACACTTAAGGCTCACAATTTCTGAAGTTACTGGAGTCAACCAACTGTTTATAAGACTAAAAGTGTACTTTGGTGCTACTATTCTAGTACGCTGCTATTGTGGCCGAGGTCTTCAAAAAAAGAAGAAAATATACCTGTTATTTGAGTGTAGGTTGTCTTAGTCAAAAATGGTACCGGTGTTGATTAACAACTCAGTTAGGATTAAAAAGTTGTTCAGAAAAAAAATAATATTTCTATTATGAATGTCACCGAAATATATCAGTTAACTGAATGAACATATATATCTTCGAAAAGTTAGAGGATAACTGTGCTTGGACTTTTTCAATACTCGCATTAATAACTTTAAACTGATAGAGAATTAAGAGATTTTCCACTTTTGGTGGCTAAAAGTGTGACATATTTATGCCTACTGCATACGTCAGAAAAATAGATGCATTTCAGTCTGAGACAGTTGAAGACACATCTATTCAAACAAATAGTTGTTAAACTTACCAACGGACACACTTAAACATAGAAATCATGGCAAAATGGTAAACAGGTAGGTAACTGACAACAATATTTTGTCCTTAAGGTTGAATTTTGATGTTTTTACTTACTGATGACACTTACTTTCATATGCTACACCAGAAATGACACCTTTTCTGATTGTGAAAGCACCTTGGGTAGTTACTTACGACCGCTTCACCATTTAAAATTCAACGTCTAGGGAATAAAACTTAGGATTAAACACGAACTATAAGATATTACATTTGAACCTTAAAAGCTACATAGCAGCATCTTTTGCCGGTCTAATTGAGCTGCGTCGTTATTGTTGGCATTCGAGCCATTTGACGTTATTTCACGAGATCTGTTGACATGCATACACACCTCATTAGTATGCATACGCAATGAACAACCAAAACAAGTTTCAATATGACAGTATTGATGCCACAACAATCATTTGGAAGCTACTATTCTTTACTGGAGTAGCAACTATATGCAAGGCTTTATTATTAGTATCATTTGTCCATTGAGTTCCTAGTGGAACATACGGCTTCAGTAGCACATTCCCATTGCACTCTCTTCTCTGCAGTATTCTCAACCTGGCTCCACCACTGACAACAAGCTTTCATTTCTTCCCCACATCATCTCCTCCATGTCACCATCACCTCCGACGCCCTACTCGTCGTTTCACATTTGGATTCCACTCGACGACCTGGTCTGGTCTGGTCTGGTCTGGTGTATGATGTCCCAAAATGGTCTTCTCTGTGTATGCCCAATCCAATCCATCTCCACTCTCTTCTGCATATTTCTCAGTCGATGGGTTCTTGCTTCGTTGGTTCGTTGGCAGGCCAGAGTGGGTTCCTTGATGCTTATTCTTATTATTCTGACCATGCATCTGATCTTCAGTGTCAGTATCGAGTCAGTGTAGGTGGCAGCTGTTCATGTGATGTATGTCTGTAGTTTGTTGGAGATGCTTTTCGTGATGCACCAAGTCTCTCAACCGTCACATGCAAGCACTGACCTACTTGACTGAATTAGTGTTGAAAATCCGAATCTTGTTCACGCTTTATGCTGAGTGCAGTGCAGTGCAGTGCAGTGCAGTAGATCTCCACACTAATTTCAGGTTAATCAAGGGCTGTCATGCTTATTTGATCCCGTCTTTGTCATCCTCATCTGTGCCGCCGGCTCCACCTGTAGTTGAAACGATGCTGCCTTATCTGGGTGGGTGAAGGAGACTACTTCCTTCACGTTTCCCCCACTCATCGTGATTGGTGCCTCTTGTTGTTGTTGTTGATGCTGTTGCTGCTTCTGCTGCTGCCATCACTGTTGTTCGCTGGATATCTTCATCACCTCCGTCTTTTCCATGTTCACTTGAAGTCTCGTCTTCGCTGCCTCACCTCTCCTGTCAACTTGTTGCTGTTTGCCTGTAAATCTTCGAGTTCGTGCCACAAGACATTACACATAAATCATCAATGGCAAAATCCAAATCCTCTTGTATGTTGTTTTCATCGGTACAGCCAGCGTATGCCCATCTTCTCACAGCTCCTCATGGTTTGCTGCATGATCCAGTCCAGTCGACCACAATCAGGAAGATGATTGGTGATGGTAGGTGGCAACCTTGTCTCACTTCTCTCTGTCTTCACTTCGAAGGTATCACTGAGCTGCTTTCCATTGTGAATCACTTGGCATGTAGCATCATATAGCATATAGCTGCTGTTGAATGAGGTTTATAAATATTTTTGGTACTAAAACCGTAG